CTGGGACAAGCTCATGGAGGGGCTAAAGAATCACTATGCCCCAACTCCCTCTAAGATCACACGCCAGTATGCCTTCTGCCGGTGTGTCCAAAAAGAATCTGAATCTATCAGCCAGTTCCTCCAGTTGCTACAGGTTGCCGCCATCCAGTGCGAATTCCCCGATTTGGAGGATAACTTGGTAGAGAAATTTGTCTGGGGGGTGAAGGACATCCGCCTCAAGTGGCGCCTACTCTCTGGGGCTGACATCACCTTGCCACAGGCGGTCGACGAGGCTAGAGCCGCGGAACTCTGAGCAGTCAACTGTGGAGATGGCCAGCTACCTGCTTCCATTGCCTGCATCACCCTCTCTGCCTCCTCTGCCTTCTCCGCAATCAACCTGCCTGATAGACGAGCTGCCCCCTTGCTGGACCCAATCTATGAGGACCAGGTCGACCGCCTCCGAGCCATTCCCCGGTGGCAACAGCGTCCACAAGCCTGAGCCGCTGCGGTGGCAATCATGCCCGGGCATCTTGCCCCTTCAAAGCTTCGATGTGCCACCGTTGCGGCAAGAAAGGGCACCTGGCGCAAGTCTGCCGGGCCACCCTGCCACCTCCAGCTCAGTCTGAACCATCTCTACCAGCCTATGGTCCACCTGCACCACCCAAGAACCAGCTGCCAGCAGACCCGCCACACTGACTGCTTCACCTTGGGAGAAGATCTTCCTGCCACCCCTGCAGTGTCGGTCAGCCAAGCCACGACTGGTACAAAGAAAATCACTGTCACGGTCTCCATCGAGAGGTCCCCCTGCCTCATGGAGGTGGACTCGGGGTCCTCCCGGTCTCTCCTGTCATGGGCCACTTTCACCCACCTGTGCCCGGGAGTCCCCAAAGTGCAGCTGTCTCCTCCGGACACCGTGCTCAGAGACTACCAGGGGACTCAAATTCCTACCCTGGGCTGCTATGGGGTGCAGGTGGAGTACGGGGAACAATACTGCTTCCTACAGGTCTTGGTGGTACAGAAGCCTCTGCCGGCTCTCTTGGGCCTGGACTGGTTTACCCCATTGGGCTTATCCCTCTCTGGGGTGCATTTTGTGGCGGACACGCCCCCTGACATCGCGGCCATCCTAGCAGACTACTCCGATGTCTTTAATGGTGAGCTGGGGAGGTATAAGGGTACCCCCTATTTCCCTCAACCTAGACCCCCAGGTTGCCCCCATCAGGCTGAAGGCCCGCAGGGTGCCTTTTGCCTTGAGGCCTAAGGTTGATGCCAAACTGGATAAGTTGTTGGTGCAGGGGATCCTGGAGCCCGTCGACCACTCACGCTGGGACACCCCAATAGTGGTCCCCGTGAAGGCCGACAGGTCCATCAGCATATGTGCCGACTATAAGTCGACCATCAACCTTGGCCTCCAGGCAAACCCCTATCCAGTCCCTATGGTGCAGTACCTGCTCCATTCCTTGGGGCAGGGCTGCACCTTTGCCAAACTGGATATGGCGCAGAACTACCAGCAGCTCCTGGTGAATGATGATGCGGTGGCTGCCTAGACCATTGTCACCCACCGTGGGGCTTTCCGCTGTTGCCGCCTACAATTCGGCATCTCCGTTGCCCCGGGGATCTTCCAGAGCCTCATGGAACACCTGCTCCATGGTCTCCCTGGTGTTGTCCCGTACTTCAATGATGTCCTGATCGCTGCAACCAGCCGCTCAGGGCTCATCGAAGTACTTCGGAAGGTCCTCGACTGTTTTAGGGGCGCAGGTCTCAAATTAAAGCTCAGCAAATGTTCCTTTGCTGTGCCTAAGGTGGAATTCCTGGGCTTCATGATTGATGCCCAGGGAATCCACCCCACCCCCTCTAAAGTGGCTGCCATTAAGAATGCCCCTGCACCCACCTCCAAGGCGGAGCTGCAAGCGTTCCTTGGCCTTTTAAACTTCTCCGCACCCTTTCTTCCTCACAAGGCATCACTAGCCGAGCCGCTGCATCGGTTGCTCGACCGATCTGTGGCCTGGCAATGAGGCAGACGCGAAGCGCATTCGTTCACAGCTGTTAAAGCCATGCTGACAGTCGAGGCAGTCTTAGTGCAGTATAGCGACAAGATGCCTCTGACGTTAGCCTGTGACGCCTCCCCTGTGGGTTTGGGGGTGGTCCTGAGCCATGTTCTGCCCAATGGCTCGGAAGCCCCCATAGCTTTTTATTCCCGGACACTTTCCTCGGCCGAATGGAACTACAGCCAGATCGACAAGGAGGCTCTGGCTGCAGTGTCCGGGGTTAAAAAGTTCCACGATTACTTGTATGGTCAGCACTTTACCCTCTACACTGACCATAAGCCACTCCTTGGGCTTTTGGCCGGTGACAGGCTGACACCCCATCCTGTCTCCCAGGATGACCTGTTGGATGGAGTTTCTCGCAGCGTATTCCTACGCGCTGAGATACCTTCTGGGCAAGCAGCTAGGGCATGCTGATGCCCTCAGCCGCTGCCCCCTTCCCTGCGCTGACCCTCAACCGGTCCCCTGTCTGTCTGTCCTCTCCATTGCTGAGTTGGACCTTCCTCTCACTGCCACTGATGTGGCCGCCCACTCAAAAGCTGACCCTGTCCTCTCCCAGGTCATGGCATGGGTCCTGAGGGG